TGAGTGTCAACTTCATATGCAACCCTGGGCATTGCTATGACGGGATCCATGCACCCTCCCCTCAAGGATTCGTCTTCCACTTCCAACAAGTGACACTTCTATCCACACTGTCCCCCATATGAGAAGCCTAGAATAATCCTTGATTCCTCACTCTCTCTCACCACTCACATTTGATTAATACCAATTCCTATTATCCCTCTCTGGAATTCGCCTACTTCAATCCCCCTCCTGCTCCACCTCTCCTATTGATTGCTGCGATGGTCCTCCTGGCCCCAAGCATGGCTGGCTCCAACCTATCCCACACATGTGGTCTTTCTGAAATGGAAATCTGAAAACACATCGCTCTCCTGCCAACATTTCTTCAATGCTCTCCTGGGCTTCTGAAGGGGGTAGGAGGTGAATTCTGAGCCATTCTTCTTAGATCTTCCAGTGTTCTTGAATCACAGTGCTGCTGTTTGACCTTGGGAATGTTACTCAAGCAGTTCTTGCATTTTTCTCATCTATAAAAAGAGAATAGCTGGCTTCTCTCTCCACACTCACTCCCTCACTCATCTCATTGGGCCCCATTGCTTTAAATACTCACATACTGAAAACACCCACATTTACATCTCTAGCTCAGACCTCTCTCCCAAACTTTAGACTCATGCATCTAGCTGCATTCTCAGCATCTCCACTTGGATAGCTGATATAACTCATAGGTATACTAAATGGAACATGTCCAAAACGGAACTCCTGTTTTCACCTTAAACCTGCTTCACTCACAGTCTTTTTGGTCCCAGTTGACGGAAGTATCTTTCCAAATGCTCAAGCTCAGTGGTCCTCCCTTCTCTCTTATTCTCACTCGCCACATCCCAGCCATCTGGAAATCTGCCACCTCCTCAAGACTACCTGCACCCTCAAGACTACCTGCGTACTCCAACTCCTCCTCACCACCTTCATGGCCATAGACAGGTCTGAGCTCCATCATCTCTCCCTGGGTTATGACAGCGGCCTCCTAACTGGTCTCCTTCCACCCACAGTCTTTGTTCAACCCTATAGACTGATAAATCAGATCCTGCCACTCCTTGGTTCCAAGGGCCCTCCTTTCACTGCCACTACAAACCGAATCTTTACAGACCCCCACCTTGCAGTTTCACCTCCTACTTTGTCCTCTGCTCATTCTTCTCCACCCACACAAGTCTCCTTCCTGCTCATATGCTCTGGCCTAGCAGCCTTTGTGACGCCTGTTCCCGTTATTGGAATGCTCTCCACCAGATATCCCTACAGCTAACTCCTTCACCTTCTTCAAGACTTCACCCTAAAGTTTCTTCTCAATTACGCTCGCTCTTTTTGAGCTGGAGTCTCACTCTGTTGCCCAGACTGGAGTGCATTGGCCGCTTCTGGCCACCACAGCCTTGACCAGCTGGAGTCCGGTGATCCTTCCGCCTCAGCCTTCCGAGTAGCTGGAACTACAGGCGTGCACTACTATGCCTGGCTAATCTTTGATTTATTGTAGAGATGAGATCTCGCCAAGTTGCCCAGGCGGGTCTCGAACCCGCGGGCTCAGGCAATCCACTCACCTCGGACTCCCAAAGGTGCAGGATTACAGGCTGAGCCACCGAGCCCGGCTTCTTTTTTTTTTTTGAGTTGGAGTCTCACTCTGTCATGCAGGCTGGAGGGCAGCAGCAGGCTCCCAGCAACTGCAGCCTCCATCTGCTGGATTCAGGCGATCCTTCTGCCTCAGCCTTCCAAGCAGCTGAACTACAGGCACATGCCACCATGCCCGGCTAATTTTTTTATTTATTGTAGAGATGAGGTCTCGCCAAGTTGCCCAGGCTGGTCTCGAACCCGTGGGCTCAGGTAATCTTCTTACCTCGGCCTCCCAAAGTGCTGGGATTATAGGCGTGTGCCCCCGCGCCTGGCCTGACGTTCACTCTTATGCCTCCTTAAAAACTATAATCCTCCCCTCAATCCCCTGACACTCCTGACCGCGCTTTTTTAAAATTATATTTATTAAATATACATGGAATGAGCACAGTGCTTGGCACACGGTGTTCCACAAATATTTTTATAAGTATTAACTATTTCAACACTTACAATCACCTGGTTCCTACTTACCTTTCTAATCTCATCTCCCTGCTGTCTTCCTCAGCTACACCTAACTTGTTCATCTCTAGAGACTTCCATACACTCTTTTTTCTATCCTTCTGTCCCTTCACTTAAGAAACCTATACTCATTTTCAGATTTCAGTTTAGAAGGACTCCCTCATTTGGGAGCCCCTCTACCAGCACTTTCCCCACTTTTTCTTACTCATCACACCGTGTGGAATTACTTGCCTCTCGCGTGCATCACTGGCTACCCTGTGTGACACAGGCCTATGCCTGTGTTAGTAGTCATTGTTGAATCCCCAGCACCCAGCCAGGGTTTTGTACATGGAGGCTTTCAGCACATGTGAATTCAGTGAATGACAAATGCCCATAGCAGTGATTGCATTTCTTGGAAATACGTTACTTAGTACCATATGTTATTGTATCTTGTGCTGTTTCTAACTCAATCCTCACAGCTCTATATGAAGTAGGTATTATTAGTGTTCTTATTTGAGAAATGAGAAGTTTGAAGTCTAGAGAAGTCAGGGTCGCACAGTAATTGTTGGAGCAGGTTCATACCAGGCACTCTGGCAGAGCTCCCAAGCCTATTCCATGCCACATCACTCAGCCACTTTGCTTTTGGGTTTTCTCCTTTACTTAGTTCAGAGTTACCCAACTATCTGCCCTTAGCAAGTGTGGCAAAGAACAATCCACACCATCTTCAGCAAAGGCCTCGCCTGTGGAGGAGCTGCCACCCACCTCCATTTTACCAAAGTGAAAACTGCGGCCTAGGAAGGGTGACACTATCAACCATCTAGGTCGACACTGTCGCCACAGCTTACTGTTTGAGCCAACACTTACAATGTGCCAGGCACAGGGCAACCCTTCCCACCTCTCATCTCAATCACTGGTCTTAAGATGAACTGAAGTTGAAGCTTGTCTTCTGAATTCTCCACGTCTTTCTGGATCACAATGACTCGAAGCTCTTAAGCTTGTATCCAAGGAATTCGCGCTGCAAAAGCGAACTGGAGAGACACCTCTCCACCCCTTCCTCTTCTGGTCTGGAATGAGGTTCTGGAAGGTGGAGCGTCCTGCCCGAGTCCGGGGTGGGGGTGGGGGTGGGGGCCGGGAAGCTGTCCAGCTGGGCCGGGAGCGGGCCCAGAGGGGTCCACAGCAGCCCCACGGGCAGTCCTGCACTGCGACGAGGAGGCGTGTCTCCTTCCAAAAGCACGCATCTGCTGGAGGGCTTTACCACTCCTAGGTTTACCATCCACGGCGTGCTGTTAGATCTGTGAATTCACACGTCTTAGCCCCCCTCTAGGAGCGTTCGCAATTATGCAGATAACGGAGGACTCCTTTTTGACTGGCCCATCCGTATCCTGTGCTCGACCTTCAATCGGGGCCGGGGCCACACGGCTGCACCAATCGGAGATGACCGGGGCCTCGACAGGCCAATTGGGGGACCGAGTCGACCGCAGGGCGAGGTGCCAATTGCGCCCAATCCAGAGGGAGGAGCGGGTTCCGCGTGCCCAATCAGCACCTTCAGCCTCGCAGGCCGACCAATCAGCGGGCAGCGGCGGCCGGAGCGCGCGGGGGCGGGGCCTGTCGCGCGTC